CTTCCGGAGCGGCTCGTTCAAAAAACACCCCCTTTTCCGAGGCGCTCTGGAAAGCTCGCCTTGGTGAGCTTCTTCCACTCGGCCTGGGCGAGCAGCTGCCAGGCGGCTCCAGGGATCTTCTTGCATCCGCCCATGTTGAGCTCCTGGTCGGTGTGGGGTCTTTCAAAAGCTCTCGGGAGGGAACGGGTCGCGCAAGGCCTGTCTTTCAGAAGCTCTCGGGGGGGAACGGGTCGCGAGAGAGGCCTGCGCGGGTGCTCAGAGAGGTTGGGCTTAGAGTTAAAGTGTTTTTAGCGGGGTAAATTGTGGGGGTAGGGGTACCCTGAGCATCGAATATTGATTCCGATCAATACGGTGAAAAACCAGATTGATTTGGCTCTAAAATCAATCTGGCTGGATTGATTTTGGACAAATTCCGAATCAATAAATTTCCATCGCAAAAATATCCATAAAATCAATATAGCACAGACAGCAAAATCAATATAAAAAATCAACATGGGCAGCTACCAGACGAAGCTTTTCCCCTTAGCCCTACACCCTTTGCAAACCCTGAGGCCTAAACCCGTAAATTCCGGACCCTACCCTAAACCCTTAACCCTTTGCAAAATCCCAAGCCCTCAACAATTAAACCCCGGACCCTACCCTAAACCCTAAACCCTTGCAAGCCTCAAGCCCTAGACACCTAAACCCGGGACCCGGCCCTACCCTAAACCCGAAACCCTTTACAAACCCTAAGGCCTAAACCCTGGGAGCCCTAAACCCTTTGCAAACCCCAAGGCCTAAACCCTTAGACCCCGGATCCTACCCTAAGCCCTTAACCCTTCGCAAACCCTAAACACTTAAACCCCGGACCCTACCCTAAACCCTTTGCAAACTCAAAACCCTAAACGCTTCAACTTCGGACCCTACCCTAAACCCTAAACCCTTTGCATCATACCCCAAGCACACTTAGACCCCGGACTCCACAGTAAACACTAAAACCCCGGACCCTACCCTAAATCCTAAACCCCAAACTTAAACCCCGGACCCTATACCCTAAACCTTAAATTCTTTGCAAACCCCAAGCCCTAAACACTTAAACCCCGGACCCTACCCTAAAACCCTAAACCCTTTGCAAACCCCAAGCCGTAAACCCTTAAAGACCGGACCCTACCCTATAAACCCTTTGCAAACCTAAAGGCCTAAGCGCTTTAGAGCCTTTTGCAAGTGAAGCCTTGCAAAGCTCTAAATTCGCGATTATATATATATATACATATATTATTTTAGATAGGAAATAAATTAAGAAGTAAATTAATCACGAACTAATGAACGAATATACATATATATATATATAATATTATGCAAAAACTCCCCCCCCCCTCCCCCTCCACCATCCCCTCTCCCCCCCATCCCAGTCTCAGCCTTTCACGTTTTTTGGTACTCTCCCCCAACCCGCCCCGTCCCCCTCCCCCCGCTCCGTGTTTTTATATACGAAATCAACGTATCTCCTCCCCCCATCCCCCTGCCCCCGTTTCGTGTTTTATTTACGAATTTGAAATAAATGTAAAATCAAAATGCACCCTCCCCGGCCCACCCACCCCCCCCCCCCTCCCCGACTGCGCTTTCGTTTCCTCACGAGTCTCCCTCACCCTCCTCCTGTTTCCCTCCCCCCGTCACTTTATTTTTTCAATTTATCTCTTTAACCGTGTCCCAATCTACTTTTTCATTTTTTGGAAATCTGTGCTTATTCATTCTTTCATTTTTTTAAGAAAATGATGAAACATCAGAAATATGCTGAAAAATGATGAAAACCTGGTTTTTTCATAATATTTCATCATGTTTCATCATGTTTTCCGTTTTTTTTTTTTAATATTTTCGCATTTTTTCGAAAATTTAGAAATATGATGAAATATGATGAAACATGATGAAATATGATGAAATCCGGGTTTTTCATCATATTTCATCATATTTCATCATATTTCATCATATTTCATCATATTTCATCATGTTTCATCATGTTTCATCATGTTTCATCATGTTTAGTCTTTTTCTGTCTTTTTTTCAAAAAATATGAAATATTTTTTAGGGATTCTCCCCTCAAAAAAGTTTTTCAAATTTTGCAGTTCATTTTTCAAAAAAATCCCCAACATATTTTTTTTGATTCCCCCAATTCTTTTTGAAATTTTGCAATTTTGCTTTTTGAAATTTCATTTTTTGGTAAAAAGGAAAATTCAGAGAAAATAACAAAAAAAAAATATTTGATATATTAGATAAGGAAAATACCAAAACAATAACAAAAAATGAAATCAAAAGGAAAATTTCCAATAAAACATTTTAAAAATCGAACAAGAAAATAGAAATTGACAAAAAACTAAACCAAAAAATGAAAGCAAGCAAAGAAGAAAATAAACAAAACAAAGTATTGGGATTGCACGGGTTCAGGGTTCTGGGTTTAGGGTTCAAAGCCCAGGGCTAGGGTTTCAAGGATTAGGGTTTTGGGGGTTGAGGTTTAGGTTTAGGGTTTTCGGTTTAGGGTTGAAGGCTTAGGGCCTAAGGTTAGGGTTTCAAGGATTCGGCTTCAGGGTTTAAGGTTTAGGCGTCGAGGCTTAAGGTTTAGGGTTTTGGAGTTTTGGGCTTAGGGTTGGAGGCTTTGGATCGAGGGTTAGGGTTTCAAGGATCAAGGTTCAGGGTTCAAGGTTTTGGGGTTGAGGCTTAGGGTTTTGGGTTTTGGGTTTTGGGTTTTGGGTTCAATGCTGAGCAAGGATTAAGGATAAGGGTTCAGGGTTTAAGGTTTAGGGGTTGAGGCTTAGGGTTTTGGATTTGGAGTTCAGGGTTTAAGGTCTAGGGTTTAAGGCTTAGGGGTTCAGGCTTCCGGTTCAAGGTTTAGGGTTTAGGGTTTAGGGTTTAAAGCTTCGGGGCTAGGGTTTTGGGTTCAGGGCTCAAGCTTCAGGGTCTAGGGCTTCAAGGTTTAGGGCCGAGGGTAGGGTTTCGGATTTGAAGGTTAGGTTTAGGGTTTAGGGTTTAAAACTGAGGGATTAGGGTTTCGGCTTCAGGGTTTAAGCAGAAGGCTAAATCCCTAAACCCTGAACCAGCTTGGGTTTAGGGTTTGAAGTTGGGTTCAGGGTTTAAGGTTTAAGGCTTAAAGCTTAGGGCCAAGGGGTTCAGGCTTCCGGTTCAAGGTTTAGGGTTTAAAGCTTCGGGATTAGGGCTGTGGGTTCAGGGCTCAAGGTTTAGGGGCCTAGGGTTTCAAGGTTTGGGGCTTATAGGTTTGGGGCTTGAAGGTTGTGGCCTTGTGCCTGGCCTCTCCTCTTCCTCCCATGAACCTTTTGCAAGGCTTCTTTCACCAAAGCAACCTTTTGCAAGGCTTTGACTTTGAAGAGACAAAACACAGCCGGCCATGCTTTCTCAAATCAAGCTTGAAATCAATACATAACAACAACCGAAATCAATATACAAAATCAATATATGAAATCAATATGACCACCTCAAAAAATCAATATGGCCCAGATTGATTTTTTCAATACAAAAAGCAAAAATCAAAATCAATATGAAAATGTAGTTTTAGATTGATTGGAATCAATTATCGATGCTCAGGGTAGGATTCGAGAAAAGAGTCTTCAAAATACGTACTTTTTGGAATTGCTCGGCGCTGTCTCTTTGGTCGCCAGCCAGCAGCACGAAAACTACAGGGGCCGGCATCGAATTCACCAGCTGATCCGACAGGACACCCAAAGGAAATGGCAGGAAATGACGAGACTTCAATGCTAGATTTCTGCTCCCACAAGAACTGATTCCGACCCTGCCACAATACAAGGGGCCTGCATCCTGGGAGTAGATTCTAAGAAGCTTTCGTTGAGCTTTGATGGTACATAAGGGAGTTGAGTTCTAGAATTTGGGCTTTAGGGCTTACAGAGTTGAATCCCGTTGCGTCTGACACAAGCTTGTCAACTCGGTCGTGTCCTCAAGGTTGGGACAGCGACCCAGAATCGAGAGCAGCGCGGCGGCGCCCTCGCCGCTTTTGTAGAAGCACCTGGGCCGGCCACCGCAACTGCCCGGCCCCCCTAAACCTTAAACCCAAAGCCCCAAACCCTAGACCCCCCCCCACTATATGTAGAAAGTGGTCCCTGAGGCTCCCCTTTAGGCCACCAGTTAGGTCCCTCACTGGTTATTACACTTGCCCACCTTCTTCGTGGAATCTTTGCAATCTGCACACTTCGTTCACGCATGGCAGTATTATTACTGCACAAAAAACACCTTTTACAATACTATTACGTCGCTCTCTTCGTACTCTCTTCTCACTATCCCGGGCCAATAGTATTATTATCAGCCCGGGGTCTTTTACGAATATCAAGAAGAAGAGTGACTGAAGTGAACACATTAAATTATACATGAGCGCAGTGATTGCATAACTTGAATGCGTGAATGTAGTGAACGGCCGTAACACACTGCCTTGCCAATGATCTTTTCCTGCTAATCGTTTTAACTGCGGAAATAGCGGCACAAAAGTCGGTCAGACTGGCATGCGACTCCAAGGGTGTGAACGGTTCGACCAATGCCTTTGTTGTAAATGTCTTGTTGCCAAATTACAAACTGAAGGAGCATCATACTATCAAACATCAGAAGAAATGATACATTGAGCTATAACAGACCCGAGATGAACATAGACAGTATGAGGAAGAAGCTTATGATCTGAGATTACCCTTTCAAACTAATATTCTGTAAAAAAGTTCATATGGATGCTCCACACAAACCTAGCCACAAGCTTCTTCACAGATTAGAGCAGAAGCCCACCTCAAGAGCGAAGAACCGACCAACGAAGAAGGCAAGACAAAAGTTGAGAACAAAGAAGGAGGGCAAGTGCCAGAACGAGTGAGGGCGCTATCCTGTGGTGGCCGAAGGGGGAGCTTCAGGCTTCAGGAACCCCTTTCTACATTTCCCCACCCCCCCCCCCCACCAAATCCCCTCCATCATCTACGTCTACGATCTCCAGACCAGCTCTTCTCTAAGCACCCTTTCCGAGGCGCTCCACAAAGCTCGCCTTGGTGAGCTTCTCCCACTCGGTGCCAGGGCCGAGCACCTGCCACTCTTCAGCCGTGAGCTGAAGCTCGTCGAGGCTCAACGACTCGAGCTTCGCGCGCACCAGGAGGTCCGCGAAGAGCTGCGGGCCCAGCTTCGCATGAGCACCTCTCCCAAGTCTCACATTGACGCCGGAGTCCAGGATCGATTGCACTCCGTGCTCTTCCAGGCCTTGCACCTCAAGCCAAGAGACGTATCTATGGCATGTCGCATCCATCCCATTGCCGCAATTACAACCTCAAATCTCCGATAGTCTGCATCCGGGTCACGGCCGCTTCGGTGTCCAAGCCGAGCGGATGCTTCCCCTGCAAGGCCGTCAAGACTGCCTTCGGCACCTTCGGGGCTTCCGACGAAAATAGTACGAGCAGCAAACGCCTGCAGGAGGGTGGCTTTCGAAGAGAGGCCCCGGGGCCTGGCCATCCGCGCCGAAGCTGGCCTTCAGCGTGGAGTAGGTGATGGCCTGGCCACCTGCCAGAAGTCGCTGGATAAGCCCCAGCAGACCAGGCCAAGAACACTTCAAGAGCACCCAAAAAGCGATGGCAGCTCGTGCACCTCGTGGGGAGCATCCCCCCGCACGGGCACGGGACCGAGACGAGAGCGTCATGCTCTTGCAACGCCGCGAAACGTAAATCTCCAAAGCACGGAACCACGCGAAGCCGATCCATGCTAGAGCCCAATAGGGTTTTTTAATGCTTTTGATAGTGTGTGCAACTCTCATGTCGCTTATACATATCATATGCGAGAGCATCACGGGCACGCAGAAAACACCAAGAGGGTCATCGCTCGCGCCCTTTCAACGCGCACGGTGCCGAGGCATGGCAAGGGGAGAGTGTCCGGACCCTCAGGCTGACAGGAACCCGCACACTGTTTGGGTTAATTCAAGCTTGCGCTGCGCCAAAAAGGGGGCCTGCTGCCAGGGCCACGAAGCGAGGGTCCCGATCCTGGCCGCACCAACGGTGCAGGCCGCCTTTTGCTTCTTCTCCCAAGTGGCTCAGCAAGGCGAGCAGCAGCCAGCTGGCCAAGCTCACGGCCTCTTTGAGTGCAGGAACGCGGTGTCTTCGCACGCATTATCGGTCACTATCGCGCGTCTCAGGGCATGCCCAAGCCCGGCACCAGCCATGCGAGCAGCAACGCATCGGGCAGCACCTGCAGGCTGCAAGCTGAGCTGGCTTGGCTGCTTTGTTCAATCGCCATGCAAAAGACAAAGAGCGAGAGGACAAGATAGGGAGGGGAGAGCTGTGTGGGAGAGCGACCCTGCTGACCTTGCAAGCTTCTGGAGCTGAGCTGATGCGCAAGAACAGCTGTGCCCCGGCAGCCGCGCCCACCAGAAGAAAGTGAAGCACCAAGGAGCGCCTCGCAGATGCGTGCAGCACTTGCACCTGTGCTCTCACCCCCCCCCCCCGTGCGTGAGAACTTCAAGCCGGGGCCTGAGGGGCAGGAGCGAGCTGGGCTCCAGGACCTGCCCCGGGTGCGCCACCACCGAGGCCTGAGCAGCGGAGCTTCCAGCAGCACCCCGGCAAGGGGGCTTGCAGCAAGAAATGCATTTTCATTCTTTTCATTGCCACCAAGCAAAAAAACCCGCGGGCTGCGGTCGAGGGGCGGCCACGTCCGGAGCGGAGGCGTCCGGAAAGAGCAGCTTGGAGGCCAGAAGATGTAGCCCCACAAGCCCCAGGCTTCCGAAGCGAAGGAGGGGAAAGCCCCGCACCGAGATCTGGAAGATGTTGAGCGCCAGGATGCGGCTTAACACTTCCAAGGATCTTGCTGAGACGAGCGCTGCCAGGGTCACTCCCCAGTCCACTTTGCCCGGCAGGCCCAGCACTGCGGCGTCGATCTTGTCCCGGGTCCCAAATCCGAGCCCAAGGCTCAGACAGGATACCGCCACGGACAGCACGAGGCTGACGACCTGGCTTTCTGACAGCTCTAACTCTTCGATCTGGGCGATGCCGCCCACTGCCGAGAGCAAGAAGTTGGCTTGCACCAGGGCGGAGATGGCGGACTCGGCCACCTGACACAGACATGCTATGACGATGGCACTGCTACGGACTTCTGGTGCCCGTCGGGCTACAATAGCACAGAAAATCCCCCAAAGCTACAGGCCTCGGCAGCCTTGGCTCCAGCTAGCAGTGGGTGTTTCCTGGGCACGGGATACTTGCGAAAAAAATGACTGCGACTGCTGTGTCACTACACAGATGCCCAGCCGTGATGCTGCCTTGCGTGGGCGGAGATCCCGACCAAGAAGAGGGGCAGCGTCTGGCTCAATATCGCCAGCAGCATCAGGGCATGCAGGAGCTTGGGGGACAGGCGCGACTGTAGATGGTCGCGGTACATGGATGGGTGGCTTAGAAAATGCCACACCTCAATTGCGGTGAAGATGGGCGGCAGCGACATGCCCGACAGGTTAAGGTACAGGTAGCCATACAGGCCACTCTGCTCGAACAGGAGGAGCTGCTTGACGTCGAGGATCACGTCGATGTAGAACAGAGCCTGGGCATCCCGTCAATCGGAACTGTGCCCCATGCTTGCGGCATGCGAAGTATTGCTTGGCCGAAGACCTATAACATTCCCGACTCAGGCGCGCAAGTTAAGACCAGGAGGTCCACCCAGAACATGAAGGAGCCGCCTGTGACCGTCGTCACGCTGCATGCGCTGCATGCGGAAGCGGATGCATTGTAGGTGCCATATATGCAGCCCACGACGTGCTCGACGCTTCCCCGCAGGCACCTCAGGCCCACCACCTCTCGACAGGGAGCGCTTGTCTATGACTTACACCGCTACACGCACAATTGACAATGCGCCCGACCGGAGCTCCCTGGACCTCGGCGAGGCTGGCGACGTCCAGCTCACCTCCACCTTCTTTTTCGAGCGAAGCCAAAGAAGGCGGAAGCCACCGCTGTCTGCCAGCAAATTCTACGGAGGTTGATCTCAGGACGCGTCGTGACAAAGGCTCTAGGTGCAGCACGCCGCCGGTGTCCAGGAGCACATGCGGGTCAAAGAACCTCGAGATGCCGGTCTCGGGCTCCACAGCCTCATGCCGCTCGCGTGCAGCCGCGCGCATTATAGATATCATTATAACAGCCTCGCTGCACGACTCTGCGCTTGGCGTGGATGGACCCTGCATGCAACTCCTCCTGAGCTCCCGACCTCCCAGAATTTGAAGCCCAGCACTCTTGTTCGCTCCGTGGCTCCGTCCGGAAGGGTGATGCTTTCTGGGAGTGTGATTGTGGTCTGCACCGTCTGAAGCTCTCTGTCTTCCTCCGCTCCGTGCTTCTCCGGGTCCGGGACCAGCCGCAGGGACTGCGACGCCTGGCCGAGCTTCAGCTCCAGGTGCGTCAGGTGCATGAAGCGGGGGCGCACGTCGTCGCCCAGCTGGATTTGGCCACCCGACACATGAAGCTCCGCTGGGCAGACGAGCGTTGCGACGATGCGCCTTCCGCAACAAGCAGCAGCGCACGCTTCAGAAGCCTTTTTTTTGCAGAGGGAAACCCGGCCCCAACCCCTTTATCACGGCCTGGCTTCGCTCGGCGGCAGCAAAGCAAAGCGGTGGTCGTCCCTGGCTCGGCTCAACGTCCGGCTCACGTCTCGGCTTCCTCGGCTCATGGCTCTCGCTGGAAAGGGCACGGGCACGGGCCGCAACTCGTTGGCTTGCGTTGAGCCTTCGAGCCTCAAGCGGCTCAGACACAAGTGGCATGGGTTCACATGGTGAGGGTAAAACTCACCGCCGTCCCCTCTCAAACAGGTGTCGCATACCTGTCGGAAAGTCCAAGCTGCTCCTGAAGCTGCGGCTACTGGCAGGCCTGGCTGAATCTTGTGGCCAGGACAAGGCTTCCAACCTCAGATCTGAGAGGGCCTGACCCGAGACTCTCTCGGACTGACCAGGTGAGGCAGCACCGTCCACCGTCGGACTAGATAGGTAATAAAGACAACTCTTCGAGCTTCGAAGCACTACATCTAGGACAATTCTTTATAGGCTGTTTTCGGATTCCTGGGAAAACAACCCTCAACGCAGGAAGCCTTCAAGGAACCACCAGATCCCTAAGCCTGAACGTGAAAGCTCATACCCTGAGCCTGCAAGAATGCTACAAGCGCTCCTAACACCAAAGCTGATGTTTGAGGCCCCATCCAGCTTCACTGGGCAAAGCGCGGGGAGCCAAATCGCCTGGTTTGCAGGCACTGTCGAGTCATGGGAGGATGGGAAGCCCCAACGCCATGAACATCTGGAAAAATCAAGCGGAGGGGTTTGAGGGGCTAGGGATCCAAGCGCGGGAGCTTGAGTTTGTCTTGCTTGTTGGCTTGGGGCTGGGGCACCCTAAACCCTAAACCGGGGAGAACTTGCAAGCTCAAGGCAAAACAAGGCCTACACCCTTCCCTCAACATTACCAGGGGGCTTCATGACCGACCCTGATGAGCAGATTCGAAATGAAAGGCTCAAAGCCCTCCGTCGCAGAAGCCAGAAAGCCGTTGTACCACACTTCAGTTGGTCCGGCTTTCAGTTCCCTCCTTTTCCACCCTTTACAAAACCATCAAAAAAACAACCTAAACAAGTGTGCTTCTTAGGTACCTCCCTTATCAGGACCCCCCAAGCTTAAAACCCTGCACTCTATATCTGCGGACCTTCTCGTCTGCTGCTCAGGCAGCCACGCCCAGGCCTTCCTGGCTTTGGGGGTTTTAGGGTTTAGGGTCTAGGGTTCAGGGTTTAGGGTTCAGGGTTCAGGGTTCAGGGTTTAGGGTTTAGGGTTTAGGGTTTAGGGTTTAGGGTTTAGGGTTTAGGGTTTAGGGTTTAGGGTTTAGGGTTTAGGGTTTTGGGTTTTGGGTTTTGGGTTTTGGGTTTGGGGGGGTTGCTCTTTTTTCGCTGCCTGACCTTGTGGAGTCTTTGCAGGGGCAACCACGCTTTGAGCTTGCTTGAACCAGCCTGTCCCAACTGTAAGGACGAATGCCAGGAGGAGAACTTGAAAGAAGAACCAGCATTGACAGGGAAGAGGGAACCGCAAGACACTGAGGCGTTGCTTCAATTTTTCTGCAAGATCTGCCCAGTCAAGTGGCACAGGCCCAGCGCTTGGAGAAAAAACGCATTTGAAGCGGGTGTGCGCTTCCTTCTACATACTTCTTCTTTCATGTCTTGCAGCATCTCCTCATCATGCTCCTTGTCCTCCTTTGCTGGCGTCCCATGGTCTAGCTACACAGCTGACAAAAATTTGCACATGGTGGTCCTTCTGCACAAGCCGCTTCGTCCAACACACCTCTGGCACGAACCTCGCCAGAGAACGTCTGCAAGCCTGCCACGCAGCAGGGCGTAAGCATTCTATTCAGAAGCAGCACAAATAGATAGAGATGTATATATACATATATACATAGATACATATACATATACATATATGCTCATATATATATATATATATTCATTTATTTATTTATATCTCGCTCTCTCCCTATAAGTCATAAGACGTGCTGATGTGCAACTGCCACTCATGCTTCTACTCGGTCGCCAGCGGTGCCAGGACGCTCTGGGCCCAGATGGAAGCCCATCATTCAATCCAAGCAATCCCGCTTTTAGGGTTCAAGTGTGGGGCCTTGACTTGCACGGTTCACGGTTCAGGGTTCAGGGTTCAGGGTTCAGGGTTCAGGGGATACAATGATTCTGGTCTTCTGGCACGCCACATCCTGGTGGAAACCCACGCAGTGTCAAAGCCTGCTTCTACAATGACTGGCCAGAGGTTGGAGGCTGTGGCTCCTGGGAAGATAACACAACTTGCCGCACAAAAAATCGAGGGCCAACATCAACACAATCCCATGTCTGGCCGCCTAGCCATGCCTCGAGATCCGAGGCCGTAGTAATTATGCAGATGAGATGGCAAGCGGCAAGCAAGACCATAGGCATGAAACTGACACGATGGACCCCAATGTGTGAGACTTTCAGACGGTACGGGGGGGGGGGGGGGGGAGGGGGGAGCCAAAAAAATCGCTCCCTTTGGGTTTCCAACTATGATTCAGAGCATTGAGGTACCCAACGGGCCTTTGAGAATCCCCCATATACAGGAAAACGCAACGCCTGGAGAGTTCTCGGAACCACCATGGCATTCACGCGCTCGCAGCCGACAGCCAGTTTTGCACAACCCTGGGCCTGCTGAGTCGTTCCTAAACCCTAAACCCAACTCTAAGTCTGTTGCCCTTGCAATGATAGAGCGGCGATGAGACCAGGGGTCGGGGAAGTGCAAGCACTAGCTGAGTCAGGGTTCAGGGTTTAGGGTTTAGGGTTTTGGGTTCAGTGTTTAGGGTTTTAAATTTTGGATTTAGGGTTTAGGGTTAGGGTCTAGGGTTTCGGCCCCCAACGCAGATCGGGAAATGAGCGCAGTGTCAGGCATAGTACGCTCGGC